CATCTGTGCTGCTCGCTGGAAACAACACCAAAATGGAGGTGTGAATTCTGAGTGTCAGCATCTTATTATAGCCCTTTTGGATTGCCCTTAGAAGGGGAAGATTTCTTACATGATCTTTGAACACAGAGGAGTTCATTAGTTGCTGTAGATTTTCCTGGTGTGACTGGGATCCTCAGAGGTATAGAATCGTCTGAGGATGCCAGTCACAGCTGCTGGCAAAACGTCAGGTTCTGCAATGCCAAGGCCACGGCCACACAACCCGGGAAATCTACAGCAACTAATGAACTCCGGCCGTGAAAGCCTTCGACAACATACAGAAGAGTTTGTTTGTTTCTCTTTTCAGGGTCCGGTGACCTTGGAGGAGGTGTCTGTTCACTTCACTGAGGAGGAGTGGGCCCTGCTGGATCCGGACCAAAGGAGGCTTCACCAGGAAGTCATGGAGGAGAATGGTCGGAACGTGGCCTCTCTGGGTAAGGGTCTCCTTTCTCTTGATTGGCAGATTATGAAAGCAGAAGTCATTCCTTCCAAGAAGGACCCCAGGGCTGACCTGGATGGCCCGGGCTAGTCTGATCTCTAGTTCAGCTCTCAGAAGTTAAGGAGGATCGGTCCTGGATAGTCCATGGGTGGGAGACCGCCAAGGAAGTCCGGGGTTGCTATGCAGAGGCAAGCAATGGCCAGCCACTTCTCTTGCCTTGACAACCCTATTGGGTCTCCCAGGGCTATTTTTGGGCAGGAACGCACAGGAACAGAGTTCCGGCTGGCTCCTGAGTTGGCCACGCCCAGCAGGAACTCATTAGCATAATAGGCCACACCCAACAGCAGAAACTCATCGGGCTTGGCTACATTAGGGGTGTGTGGCCTAACATGCAAAGGAGTTCCTGCTACAAAAAAGCCCTGGGTTTTGACAACAAACAAGGTAAACAAAATAACAAGCAAAAGGTGGGTGTGGCTGGATGACCACACTTCTGGTAACATGGGGGTGTGGCCTAATGTGCTAATGAGCGGTGCTGTCAGGGGTGTGGCCTAATATGCTAATGAGTTTCTGCTGTTGGGTGTGGCCTATTATGCTAATGAGTTCCTGCTGGGCTTTTTCTACAAAAACAGCCCTGGGGTCTCCATAAGTCAGCTGTGCCTTTTTGGCACTTCCCACCGCGGCCAATAAGAACCCTGGAGACTCTCAGGAGGGGAGCAGAGTGGCTGCGAACGCAGGCAAGGGAGGGGCTTCGGCGTACTTATAGGTCTCCATAAGTATTAGCACGTAAGCTAAAATATTGGGCCGTAAATGAAAATCTTCAGTGCAGGTGAAGATCCACTGGAAGCAGGCCAGGAGGGGGGGGGAATTGGCCTCCATAGCACTGGGGACATTAGACCGCCCCATGATACTTGAGGAGGATAAGGGTGTGGCGAAGGGAGCAGAAGGGATCAATTGGGGTCCCTCCGCAGGGTTCGTTCCATTTACACCAGTGTAGACTTAGCAATGGCTCAAGGATTCAGTAGAACGAGGTGGCAGAGGCATGAAGGAGAAACCGAGAAAAGCGGGATTTCAGCAGGTGAAGTTTTTTGCGTATGTCATAATGAGCTTCACTTTATGAATTCCTGCCTGCCATTCTTTTTTGAGTTCAGTTGGGCAGGTGCTATTTCCTCACTCTAGGCTGGAGAGAAAGGGAAGACAATGTATGCCATACTGAACTCTTTTCAGGCTGAGTGTATTAAAAAAAGTCATAACTAAAGAAGGCCCCGTTCACACGGCGAATTTGCCGTGGGAGGGCCACGGATGTTGGGTGGGTTTTCCAGGGACGATCACACCACAACATCTGGCGGGCGTCGCGCACCCGTGGCCAACCTGTGACGTGCCTCCAAAAATGCGCGGTTAAAAAGTACCTGTCCAAAAGTACTAGCAAATGGTTTGCCATGGGCTGCCGACGGACTCTGTCCGTGTGATTGCGCCGGCGCGGCTTTTCCCTCCGGCCATCTTTGTTGAAGCGCACACGCCGAGGGACGGAACCATGGTTTGCCGGCGACGCGTCTGATCACAGTGTCCCGGGTCTAATTGCACCGCCACAAATAGCCACGCCTACCCCCCGCGGTTTCCGGCACGTGTGACCGGGGCCAGAAAAAAGCATTACAAATCTAAAAACGTATTTCTGGATTGTTAGGAATTAGGATCACCACCTTTTCTCATCCTGGAAAGACTGTGGGGTCTCCTCAGTGGGAGAGGAGCCCTTAGACAGTGGCCCTTTCTCAGAGCCACAGTAGACTGGGATGTCGGATCCCGCTTGTCTTGGGGGAGGGGCTAAGATCCTGTATCCTGGTGGCTCCATTTAGGCTGGGGCTTCTGTTCCCTATACTAAGGTCTCTCCTTCTTTCTTCCCCCACCTTGGGTCACTATCAGGATCAGCAGACAGATCCTTCCGAATCCAAGCAGTTGCCCCCTCCCTTCCCATTTCACATGTTTTTCTGGAGTTTTAAAAAATTGATTTCTCCTTTTTGCCGTTATGAGCAGGGCTATTTTTGGGCAGGAATGCACAGGAACGGAGTTCTGGCTGGCTCCCAAGTTGGCCACGCCCAGCAGGAACTCATTAGCATAATAGGCCACACCCAACAGCAGAAACTCATTAGGATTGGCTACATTAGGGGTGTGTGGCCTAACATGCAAAGGAGTTCCTGCTACAAAAAAAGGCCCTGGGTTTTGACAACAAACAAGGTAAACAGAATAAGGTGGGTGTGGCTGGATGACCACACTTCTGGTAACATGTGGGTGCGGCCTAATGTGCTAATGAGCTGTGCTGTCAGGGGTGTGGCCCAATATGCTAATGAGTTCCTGCTGTTGGGTGTGGCCTATTATGCTAATGAGTTCCTGCTGGGCTTTTTCTACAAAAAGAGCCCTGGCTATGAGTGACTGGGGTTCAGGCAGCCTAGTTTCAAAATCTGAATATTCCTTAGAGCTGGAATGTCTGGAAGACACTGGTCTGTTTCTTTCCTCCAAAGGAGGACTTCTGGTTCCCAAACCTGATTCCGTTTCCCTAGTGGAAGAAACAGAACCATCCGTCCAAGACGCAGAAGAAACTGAGAAATCGGCAGGTATGTGTTTTGCTGTGTGGTGGAAGCGGTTGTGAGTTTTCCTCGACTAAATCTTACCAGCTGGAGAACAGAGGGATTTCTCAAGAGGAAACACCACTAGAATAGCCAGGAAAGCTATCTCAGGTGTGAGTTAAACTGGGAATAAAAGGCTGGCCTGTTTGTACCTCAGGTTGGCGGGAAATGGTTATACAGTGCTCAGCTTTAACATACATTCAGACGCGCCATTTGATCTGGTGTCATGACAGTTCAGCAACGGATTTTATATGCACGATCACACAGTCAACATCTGCCTCCCATCCCCAGCCATTGTTTCCGGCTCAAAACCCCTTTAACCTGGAGTATTTTGTTACCAGGTCCCAAACTGGTGTTTTCTCAGCTCTCCCATTTAAAGCCGCATTTTCCCCCCTGTGTGATTGCTCCTCCGGTGTCAAGCCACTTCCGGTTTAAACCCCCTCCCCCCCTCGAAAGCTGCCTGCCATTTTTTTAACGTGTCGGTGATGTGCGCATAGGCGGAGTTCCGCTACCGTGTTTAGAAAACCGACATTTAAATGGTCACTTGTTTTAGAGTTTAGATGAATTCGGGATCTCACGGAGGCCATTTTTGGGTCAAACGTTTAAAGGGAAGTCTTTTGTTGGAGGGGTTGGATTGATTCGCCCTGGTGGTTCTGCGCATGCGCCATGATCGTTTCCTCCCATTCTATGGATGAGTGCCTATGCTCATGCGCAAACCGAGAAAAAATTTTTAAAAACTGCCGACGCATGCTCCCACACGTTGGTAGTGTAGACAGCGAGGAGCGCTGCGACTGCGTGGTAAAGCAGGATAAGGGAGGTAAGTGTGATCGTGATTATCCAGATCAATTATAATCCGGTCAGAACCGGAGCAGTTTAACCCGCTCTCAGCACACCATCTGACCGCACCCTACGATTTACTTCTCTCCTGCATCTCCATGGACCTGCTCAAGTTGGCTCACAACTCAGAGCAATAGAATAAACTCCTACATGATCAATTTCAAAAGCCAGGGGCACAAGAAGATCATACAACAGCCCCTGAGTTGCTTCAAAAATCTCCCAGGAACTGTCCTCAGGTTTGAAGAAGAGGATAACACAAATAAAAACATTACCAACTAAGAGAAAGCTTGGCTGGAAAGAACTGTTTTGACTGTTTCTGAAACGATAAGAAGGTTTCAGGTAACCTTCCACAGGGGCTCATTCCTCAGATGAGGGGCCACCACTGAGAATGCCCAGTCTCTAGTCTTCACCTGCCTCAGCCCTGCAGGGAGGGCCACAGAATGCAGGGCTTGGGAGGTCAAACTGATCTGGGAGGTGGAGAGTATGGTGAGCTTTATAAGCTTGGAGGTCAGATTGGGTCTCCATAGTTCAGGTGTAGAGCTCTGCTCAAAACACGGTGTCCAATAAATGAAGTTCAGTCCTATATTTAAAAGGAAGAGATTTGGCAAAGGCCGTCTAGTCCAACCTCCCGTTTTGCACAGTGGCCACCTAGAGTACCTGGAAGATTCACAAGAAGAGGAGCAGATCCAAGGCATCCCTCTTCAGAGAGATACTGCCTCTACACAAGGAGGTTCTACTAGTCCATCTTGTCTATGATGGAACTACCCTCCAAGAAAGAGCATGGGATTAATACAGGGCAGGATTTCTTTCTCCATCAAGTGATTTCTGTCCTGTCATTATATAGATCAGTTAATGGCCTTCTTTAGTGTATTCTGCTTTTGCTTAAAGGCTTACCATTCTTTTTTCTTCTAGAAGCTGATGGTCCCCAGAACAAGTCTGAGGGAGAACTCCATCTACTTAACAGGAAACAGAAGAAAAGAAACTCCGGAAGAAAATGGAAGAGGGAGAATGAATGTTCTGCTTCTCAGGGGGCTGAATGTGAGGTGTTTGATACACACCACAGAATTAACACACGGGAGAAACCCCATAAATGCTTGGTGTGTGGAAAGAGCTTTCCTCGGAGTTCTGATCTTACTAAACATCAGCGCAGCCACACAGGGGAGAAACCATATAAATGCCTGGATTGTGAAAAGAACTTTGCGCAGAGTTCCCACCTTACAGCCCATCAACGTACCCATACTGGAGAGAAACCATATAAATGCTTGGATTGTGAAAAATGCTTTGCTTGCAGTTCACAGCTTACTGCCCATCAACATATTCACACAGGGAAGAAACCATATAAATGTTTGGATTGTGGAAAGACCTTTGTTCGAAGTTCTGATATTACTAAACATAGACGTATTCACACAGGGGAGAAACCGTATAAATGCTTGGATTGTGGAAAGAGTTTTGCTCAGAGTTCACAGCGTATTAGTCATCGAAGAACCCACACAGGGGAGAAACCATATAAATGCTTGGATTGTGAGAAGAGCTTTGCTTCAAGTTCACACCTTAGTAGACATCAACTTATTCACACCTGGGAGAAACCATATAAATGTTTGGATTGTGGAAAGACCTTTGTTCGAAGTTCTGATATTACTAAACATAGACGTATTCACACAGGGGAGAAACCGTATAAATGCTTGGATTGTGGAAAGAGCTTTGCTTCGAGTTCACAGTTTATGAAACATCAATGTTACCACACAGGGGAGAAACCATATAAATGCCTGGATTGTGCAAAGAGCTTTGCTTGGAGTTCGCAGCTTATTAGACATCAACGTAATCACACAGGGGAGAAACCGTATAAATGCTTGGTTTGTGCAAAGAGCTTTGCTTGCAGTTCTGATATCACTAAACATCGACGTATTCACACAGGGGAGAAACCGTATAGATGCTTGGATTGTGGAAAGAGCTTTGCTCGGAGTTCTGATATTACTAAACATCGACGTATTCATACAGGGGAGAAACCATATAAATGTTTAGATTGTGCAAAGAGCTTTGCTCAGAGTGCACACCTTATTAGACATCAACGTATTCACACTGGGGAGAAGCCAGATAAATTATTGGATTGTGCAAAGAGCTTTGCTTGGAGGGACAGCCTTACTGCCCATTGATGAATCCACACTGAGGAAAAACCATATAGATGCTTGGATTGTGAAAAGAGCTTTGCTTGTAGTTCACAGCTTACTAAACATCAGCTTATCTACACTGGAGAGAAACTGTATAAATGCTCAGAGTGTGGAAAGAGCTTTATTTGGAGTGACAAACTTACTAGTCTTCAATGAATCCATGCCAGGCTGCAGCGGGGAAGGGAAGAACCACATAAATGCTAATACATTTCGGCATAAACCCCACTTATAAAGAGGGGAAATGTTTTGACGGGATACGTTTCCAAAAACAGGCCCCTATTCTACTGGAGAATTTGACCCTTCTGGGGCTTTGACACCCTCCTTGGGTGAGGGATGATCCGCCTCCCTGTTCCTGGAAGGCGAACACCTCTCCCTGGGACTGCTTTATATGAGTTTTCTCAAGGCCCTCCCTCTTGAGTAGCCATTTTCTCCAGGGGTCACTGCTCAGTGGAGATTACCTGCTTTGCACAGTACAAAATCCTGTAACCCAAAATTCTCTAGAAATCCTCTAACCCATATCAATAGATATTATTTTGTTGAGGCCCAGGAAGGAAAGTTTCTGAGAATGGCAAGAACGCCCAGATTTTAGAGAAGTGAAGATACAGTTCAAAGATGGGTTGTAATGTTTGAAGGCCAATATTCATAAATATAAGAAACTTGTAATAACTATTTTTATATAGATTTGGTTACAGTAAAAAGTACCAAGACTGAAAAAAAATCTGTATTTTAAGAAGACACTCAAGTATAGATAACTTTCCATGGTGTTTGAAGTTCAGAGATAATGAGTGAGCCAAGAATGTGCATCCTTATCAAGTGGGATAACCAAACAAAACAAAGAAGTCTTTATTTAGGAGGTGATATTAATGACCTGTAAATATGACAAACTGAACTGATTGGGAATGTCTTCTTAGAAAGGGCTCCTTGCTTATGACCTGCATATCTTTGGGTAAGATGATTTTATGGACTGTAATTGTTCGTTCATGATCTATGTAGTAGTAATGGACGATATAGTTTTCTTTTGAGTTAGGAAAAATGCAAATACTTACATTGCAATAAGGGATAAAATGGAAGCAAAGATCCTCTACCAGTAACTCTTGTGTACTTGACTTGTAACAAACCAGGTAGATTTTCAGCTTGGGTAGATCCGATTGCACACGCCTAGTTCTGTGTCCCTGACTGCAAAGATGAAACAGGTAGCAACTGGGACTATGCATTTTCAGTGGTGGCCCCTTGTCTGGGGAATATCCCCCATTTGAAGCTCACCTGAAGTTTACTTCAAGAACAGAGAACTTTGTATGGTGTTTGAAGTTATAATACAATTAGTGAGCCCAGAATGTGCATCCTTATCAAGCCAGCTATTGTTAGGACCCAATGTTAAAAACCTATAAATATTAGGGTTGCCAGGTCTGGGTTGGAAAATACCTGGAGACTTTGGGGGTGGATCCAGGACAGGACAGGGTTTAGGGAGGGGTGGGGCCTCAGTGGAACAAAATACCTATCAAGCAATCACCTATCAAGCAAATTTTATCATGATTTGCAAACAGTAAACTAATGAACTATTTTACCCATCACTTAAGGATATTAGTATAGAATTTTTTTCTAATGTAATTTTGAGGCTTGTGGGGGTTTCTTTTCTTATTGTCTCAAAAACAGGGATTCCCAGACAAAGGGCAATTTTCTTGTCTTCTTAGCCTGGTTATTTTCCAGGAATCTGGGCAACTACTTTATACAAGATGACTAGAATGCTACTCTTTAGTTACTGCTTCTTTTTTTGTTTTTGCTTGGTGTTTAGAGTTGGGGGGGGGAATGTTGAGACTTGAAGGTATTATAATACTCATAATAAAGAGATCAAGTTTTATTTCAAAATATCTTTTCATTTTAGGCAAGCATTGGTGGATGTCAATACAAATATTCTGGGAGATCTTACAGCTTTTGAAGCAAATTATACACTGCAAGGATCTGCGTAATGGGCTAATTTTATTAATTTCACAATATGAATGATGGATTCAAAGCAATCTCTGTAAACTGCCATGGACTAAATAACAAAATAAAATTTAAAAAGGGTCACTGCTATACATACTAATCAGCGAGGCACAACGTTCATACCCATACTGATTTAATTCTTGCTACTAAGGATTTATTCAATCAAATTCTTTCCTCACACATTAGCAACAAATTCTGATCTGATCATGCTTGGATAGAATGTGAACTACTAAAAAGAAGAAATAGATGACCAAGGCCCTAAATGGGTACTCAACAAATCTCTTTTATTAGACCATACATTCTATACAGAATTAGAACTCAAACAACATAAACTGTGGCATCAATCAAAATATAATCTGGGACTCAATGAAGGCCGTAATCAGAGGCAGATTTATCTCTTTGGCTTCCGACAACAAAAAGAAAAGAGAACAATATAAGAATTAATTACTCTAACCGATTCTCAGTGGCAGTCAATATGGAACTCGAAACCTTTATTAACAAAATCACTAAACATTAAGATAGTCTTTCAAAATAATGACGAGATGGTATCTCAATCCTTCAAAACTTATTAACCCCTCTATCCAACCTCTGTGCTGGAAAAATTGGCAAAGTGGGTACTTTTTTTTCATTGTTGGTGGGGCCTGTAATACGGTACAATCTTTCAGGAATAAAGTTCTAACTCAGACAGAATGTATAACAGAATATCATGTACCTAATTTCCCAGAAGTGACTTTATTAAATCTTTAGGAAGACAAAAATATTCCAAATATAAGGAAGGACTTTTCTTAGCAGCAGCTAGAACTTTAATAGTGGTGAAATGGAAAAATAAAGATCTTCCATCTATTCAACAATGGTATCAAAAATATGGGACTTTTTCATAATGGAAAAAAAATCAGACCAGCTATTAAGCTTGGAAAACGCAAATTATCACTCTAGATTTTTAGGGTCATGGCTCCCCTTCCTGTACTTTGTATCAGAAAATAAAGATCCAGCTTCTGCCATTCCTCAATTATGCAGCTTCTTAGCATTATTTTAAAAGATATCTTAATTTCATTATTAAAAAGATAAGACTAAGCTAATGTATTATATGATGATTTTATATTGATCGTTATTCTACAGCCTTAACACCCTCTCCTCCTCATTAGATTATTGTTGATTCATGTTTTCAAAAGAGGTTTATACTATTCTTGTGTGTGATATTTGTACTGTTGTGAAAAACAGTAATAAAAATAAAAAGTTTTTAAAAGATGCAACGAGGTAGGTTGCAATAAAGGATAAAGTGGAAGCAAAGATCCTCTAATAGTATCATTTTTACTAGACCTGTAAGAAACCGCAAATGTTGAGGTGCACCTCTTGCCCAGAATAAAATGATCTCATACAGGAAAGCTAATTATATGCCTAGGATTCCTTAAGTGCCCATGTAGATCTGAATGGGGCCTGACCAGTCATTCAGAACAGCCCTCCACTCTCCACAGACTCCCCCCTCCCCTCCTAATCACCCCAGAGAAATCAAGACCAATGTTCCCTCTACGCTAGGGGTGTCAAACTCATTTGTTATGAGGGCCAGATCTGATATAAATGAGACCTTTTGGGCCGGGCCATACGTGTCATAAAATGTAATGCCAGGTAGTGGAGATATAAACTTTATAAAGGACACAAAGACAAAGGGTTTTTTTACTTAGAATAGACACATGCTTAAAACATTAGCACTCTTGCAATATTTTGTTTATTGAACAGTGTCTGATAACTGACACCTCTTGCTCTGAATTATTGCATCAAAATGTCTGCGCTGTTGCAATCTTGAGTATGCTGTTCAGGTGTATATCTGTAAGCTGCAAACCTACAATGATGCAGCAACAGAAGAACTGGAAGAAGAAGCAGAAGACAGCCAGTTCCACTGCGGGCCTGATAGAAGCCCTCCGGGGGCCTCATCCGGCCCCCGGGCCACATGTTTGACACTCCTGCTCTGAGCTGTGGAGTCTTGTGAACAAAAATTCTACTTTGTGAGCTACAGACATTAAAGCTGTGAGCGAGCGATTTGGCTACTGCATAAATTAGTTGGCTCTGGAGCCATCCTTGAGCGAGGACAAAAATGTGTGAGCCAGAGGCTAAAAAAACTGTGAGCTAGCTCACACTAAATCAGTTTAGCGGGAACAGTGGTCAAGACCCTCCTGTGCTGTGACAGCTCTGTTCTAGGGGGTTCAAACCGGGGTGGTCTGAGAGTACCCCCTCTCCTCTTCCCAAACACTGCCTCTGGTGGGCATAGCCAGGCTTACAACTCAGCTTGAAGCATGAAGACTCAGTCAAGACAAGGGTGTGTTACCACCAAACAACAACAAAAATTAAACCCCACTCATCAAGAGGAAAAAAGTTCTAATGGGATATGTTTTCCAAAGTAGGTCCTGTCTCTACTGGAGTATTTGGCCTTTCTAGGGCTGTGACACCCTCCTTCGGTGAGGGACGCTCTGCCTCCCTGTTCCTGGGAAGAAAACACCTCTCCCTGGGGCAGCTTTCTATGAGTTTTCCCAAGGCCTTCCCTGTTGGAGAGCCATTTTTTCCAGGGGCCATTGCTCAGCGGAGATCACCTGTTTTGCACAGTACACCAGGGTCGTCACTGCCAAATCAATCCCAGGAGGCTCCCAGCTGGTCCTGGGGGACTGGCAAACCCTGCTGTATAGAGCGAAGGTGGGAACTTCAGGGTGAGCTCTCTCAGTAGCTGAACAAATTTTGTTTGACAGTTGGTGTCCCCCGTCAGCTAAATGCTTGATGTCTTTCCCCTACTGAAGTCTCACAGTGAGGTCTTTCACATCGCCTATCTCAAAATGAGCCCAGAATTGGAGGAGGTGGTGGGGACTGAACCAGAGACCTTCTGCGTGCCAAGCAGACACTCCACCACTGAGCCAAGGATGCAAGTCTGTGCAAGAGGGGTGTGAGTGGGTCTGCCATCCAGCTCCCTGAGAATGTGAATGTCT